CACGGATTTTCAAACCTTTATCAGACTCGAACTTTGGTACTCATTATCGTAAACTAATTAACGATTCACAAACTAAAAATAGCTTGTTAACACTAAATCTTTCTGAAGGTCGTAAATTCCTTCATAAATATGTTATTAAGTTCCGAACTTTGTACCTTTGAAGGAATGACGTGTACCTTGTTACCTATGTAAATGACTTTTATTTACGTAGCCAGACTGACTAATTTGCCTAAATTATAGTCTCGACGTCTCATTAAAAAAACCTTTTAATAAATAAATGTGAGTGTGATTGTTATTTGTTTTGTTTTCACATCGTAATTTTAGCTCGATTTATAGTGATTCTGATTTATTATCTGTGGCTACATTTTTTTTCTTTGACCACAAGGCAAAGGCTTTTAAACAGCCAGTTAAAAAATAGGTTTACATCTATACTTGATATCTAAGAATTTACGCATTGGAATCTTGTGTTATGCTAAAACCAGCCCATGAACTGTGGACTAGACAAATATTAATTCTCTGAGGGAATCGAACTCTGAGTCCACGTGTAAATGACTCAGCTAGTTATAGGTTTTTGCCCCTACTTTATAATGACTAAACCCCGATTCAATTTTAAATAAAAGATTGGTTATTTGATAAGATATTTAAAAACTAGACGACTTGACTTCAAAAATGTAGTTAGCACATAGATACATATTGAGATATCTTGAGTTTATATTTTTATTAAACTTTGGTATTTCATCAGTGACTGTTGTACTATGTTGACAATACGTCGACTAACTAAATACTGCATTATGCTAACATACATGAGTGCCAACATGAGTAAATTCTCTTGAAAGTATGACGTCATTTTAACGACTTGACTTGGCTTGAACATCAGACAAAAATATGAACGTCACGATTTTTAAAATGAGTCGAGTTTTTTGAAAAACTTTGTCTAGAATATTGTTTTAAGACTCGGCTCTAGAAGATCATAGACAATAATTTACATCTAAATTACTTGAATATCTAATCTTTTCACAAAAAGTATTTCCCAAATAGAATACATTTTAAATTAATTTTGCAAATTGAAATAAAAGTAATAAAACCTTTAACCTTCCTCAAATTAACATTAAATTAACATTTAGCATTTTTGAAGTTAATTCGTTAATTATTAAAAATAATTTATTGCGGTACAGGGGCATAAGACACAAGTGAAGGTTAGAATGCATTGACAACAATTCAGTAATTATACCTAAACAACCAATTATGGTAGAACCATGAACCTATGGCAAGTTGTTCATAAAAGCTTAAGGGTCACAGGTCAACGGTAATTAGTAAGTTTTTAGTTTGTACACTGTACACACAACAATAGTGTTTGTGAATAATCTTATACTTGCAGTTTCTATGTAATGTCTGTTTTCGTACAATGTAATTGATTTTGTTATTTGGCCATACTGGCAACTAAGTAAATATAAATACTCTTTTCTGAATATTAGTCAATATGAAAAATTAAAAAAGTTTAGTTAGGTATGTTTCTGCGTGTACCCTAAGCCTTACTTTATTTTTTTATATTTTTTGAGGCAAAAGTATGTAAGAGTAATGTTTTCATACACAAATATAATTTTTACTCAAGTAATTATGTCATAGCAGGTCACTTTGACGGTTGGTTGTTTGTAAATATAGTTTAATTAAACACAGAATACTGATAACATCCTCCTGATGTTACAAACAATATAAAATTCTTCATACCTACTAGCTATCAATAATTTTCATGAATTTACAATAGTTGACTTGCAATAATTAAATCAGTGTGGTAGGTTTAAAATGACAATGTAATGATGACTCAATATAATGATTGACCTAAAGACAACAATAGTTACTTTTTTTTACTGTCCGAACTGTCATCGACGTTTATTATGCATTGTATGTACCTATCTATAGTCTACATAAAATAGTATTAGATATTTTGAATGCTTATGAAATGGTCAGTTACATAATTTAGTAACATTCGGATTCATAACTTTTTCAAATTGAAAAAAATATACTTAATATGCGCCATATTACATATTTATAAGTACATAGAAAATTTAAGTAAATAAAATAAGTCAAATAGAATAATTAAAGGTTAGATATTAATTACATTATGTAAAATAATAAGGATGTTACAAAAAGAAATCAATAAAAACAAATTCCTATAAAAAATCATAATTAATTACACAAAATTCTCATGGGCATAAAAAAATTATGATAGTCAAGGCCAGGATTTTGATCCAACCAGTTTCTACCTAACTATTAATTACTATAAAATAAAACTTAATTTAAGACAACTAGTCGAAGTCAAAGGTTATTTAAGACAAACATTGGGATAATTTATGAGTCCTACCTATGTATTTGTTTTAAAATGAAATCTAATTATATGAAGTAGGTAGTATTGTCATGCTCATTGAGTTGCCAGTCATCCTCAAAATAATTTCAAATGAAAGTAGGTAAATGACCCTCCACTTTCTGAAATAGTTGCCAACTGATGCATGATGAATATCAAATTGCACATTAGTCTATTTTTTTACCGTCATAGAGAACTTTAGTCAGAGAGAAATTAGAATGGCATCTCAAACTTTATGAAGCTAATAAAACAATAAAAATATACTCACTTCCTGGAGAGACATGGTGATTGTTGATAGATGATACAGCTAGCTAACCTAAAAACACAGAAATAATGTTATAGCACCACAGTTTCAAAATGTTGCCGGTACAGTGATAGCCGGCTGAATATAATGACACTTAACATCATAAAAAAGTTTACAATAAAAAAACAATTGACATTTTATTGCAAAAATCAATTTGATGTTATCAAAACAAAAGAAATATCAAATTAATATAAAAACAATTCGATTAGGTGAGCAGTTTTGAATATTATTACTATTATAAATTTAAAATACACGTCACTAACTTACAGTTAAACAGAAGCGTGTGCTCGGCACGAAAACTCGTTAGGAACTGATCGCGTAAATCGACTTGGGCAAGCACAATTCAAACGACCACAAAACTAATAAAAATGAAGTGACGAATCCGATATCAACACCACGTAATGCAAACGATTATTCTTATCGTATTTTTCTATCTTTGATCAGTAAAAAATAGGGAATTCTTAGGTTATCTAGCATGAAGAAAATGACTGAAAATTTGACATTGGCGCATGACATAAAAATGACATTTCACGACAACAAATCCGCAGGGATGAACGGCAGGGATGACGCTTGACTGATGTCGCTGTTATTAAAGTTGAAATATTTATCATTCATTATGTACCTCAATTGATATGAAGTATTGGTAGTATTCCGGATTCCTTAGTTTTTATTAAGAGCTTTAATCTGTGGGGTCAATAGGCATGGATCAAAATTAAAAAGGTGTCAAAATTTAATTGACAGTATTTATTTTGTTTTTATGTAATAAGCCGGTAAACGAGCAGACGCGTTACCTGATGGTAAGCAATCGGCTCCGCCCATGGATACTTGGAACACCAGAGTCGTTACAAGTGCGTTACCTATCGGCCTCTTGAGGGATTACGAATTTGAAGATTGTTGGGAAGTGACTTATTGAGGAGGGAGTCAATTTGATATAAAATGCTTAAAAGTGAAATGAGTTAGTAGGTATCTATTCAGAGTAATAAATATAAAGTTGTGTCGTTAAAAAACCTTTCTTTATTTAACAATGTCCTATGTTTCAATACTGTATGTCTCCACAGTTACAACAGGGTCCTCCGCCACGAATTGTCTTAAATTTCACGCTTCACCGAGCTCCACGTCATTATGAATAATTCCGACGTTCTTGCTTCTTCTAGTTCTGATTATGATGCAAAGCAAGATATGACTTAAATAATCAGACATAGGTACCTACTACCTCGTATATTCTTAAAAGCATCTAATTCTAATTATAGCACTAGCTAGCTTCACTTCAAAATTTTTGTTGTTAACGTTCAAAAGTGCCATCCTAGTCTAATTGAAATAAATGATTTTGACTTTGACTTTGACTTTGATTGTACACAATATTTACCAGATATTAAAACTTTACTGCAAGCGTTAGATTCCGTTTAAATATCGTAACGTCATGCATCTCCAAAAGGATGGGTAGAGGTGGCATGTACTATGAGTCCCATGAAGGTTCATGTAGTCGGATCGGGCAGTTGGGTTCGTTGATTAAACTCTCCTTGAGGAGCGGCAAGAGCAACGCCACGTTCTTACCTTCTACCATACACCACCTTTCCAGACACGACGGTTTTGAAAGGTGCCCAAAAGAGACCCCTTGTTCGTCAGTTGCACTTGCAACCGCCACTCGACAAACAAGAGTCTGTTTGATAAAAGACAATTAATATAATATATCACACATGGTGATATCATTTTTAAATTCTTGCACGTTTGGTGTTTGGTGTAACAGAAATTAAAGTTATTTGGGTCACTCTTCCATATGGCGTCCTTGTTGATGCCCATCAAATGATTCATTCAATTCTTGTTGGGCTTGTTATAGTTACGATAAAAACATTAGTTGCCTACATTTTCCTGGAGTCCTTTTAACTCAGTTACTTTTAACTTTGTCACTTTTAACTTAGTTTAGCGGAGTCAAGCTTAGCTTGTAATTGGACACAACATATCATAATTATTACCTTAGATTCCTTTCATTTTATGCTAAAATACTAAACTAATTTATTAAACTAAACTACTTATTTACTAAAACTAAACTCATTTTATACTACACTACTAAAATAACCCTTTTGGGAATTGAACCCGGATTCCTTGTTTAGCAATTTCTTGTCGTACCTACCTTTAAATTGGTATTATTATTTTTTTACTTAAAAAGCTATGCGTTGTTAACAGGACTAGGACTGCTAGTCTTTGGTAATAAAACAAGTAGAATTCCGCTTCTTTAAATAAGAAGTTTTCACTCCTTTACTTATTTGAATAAAAAATCAATAGTCCTGCAAAATTGGGAAGCGTTTATTGATAATAATTTATTAAATTAAAGTAGGTGGGTATCCTTAACATAGACATGATTATGCGTATTTAGGAGCCAGTTTCTCAGCCATCTCGATGTACTGTTTCTTAGCGTCATCCTGGGAGATTCCCTTGCGGCTGGTCCATGCCTTGAACTTGGCATTCTCTACCATGCCGCTGGGCTCAGCTGAAACAAATAAATTGCCATTAGTTTTATTATAATTACTTCAACTTTTTCAAAGTGCCTGTTTATCTTTGGTTGGATTTTTTAGAGCTGTAAATTCAAATAAATAGAAGTCTGGTTGACCCCCTATTTATACATGGAATGTATAGCATATGTAATAAAAAGAGGATATTATTTACATTGTATCTGCACCTCTGTCTACCCCTTAAAGCATTGCAAGACGTGGCATTGTGTGAGTTACAATCAGGTAATAAATTACTCTATCACTATAGGATTGCGTGTACAGATAATTTAGTATAGGTAGGTAATTTATCAATCGTTTCAGATAGGTAATAATTCCAATTTTCCACGAAATAAGTATACCTTTTGGAAATTATTTCATTATTCATTACATAATTTTTGTTAGAATAATTATAGAAACTACTCTGCTTTGTAGGTCAAGAGGTTGCAAGTGCAAATGTAGAATCGGAGATCCGATACCTAGGATTGATCCTGGTTAGGCAAAGTTTCTATGATTTGACAATTTATTCTTGTATTAGTAGCATGGAGATTGAAATTGTGTTGAGTCTATACTAATAGGGTCACCGTTTGCTTGCGATTTATTATATTATATGGGACTTTTACACACAACTGATAAAAAGTGTGATTTCCACTGAATACAGTTGTTGTAAAAAACGTATATTGTGTTAATTACCGATGTTGACGTCTCCGATGGTAGCCTGCTTGTACAAGGAGTACAGGGCAAGGTTCTCATCATTGCTGGGAGTGGTCTTCCAGTTCCTGACGGAGGTGGCGACTTTGGAGAATTGCTGCAAAAGTAAAAATTATACAATTAGCTTGATGAATTTTGAAAATATTTGCTTTATCCCATTACTTAGTTTGGGAAACGTAACTTCTTCAGAATAAATATTATTGTGAATATTGTTATATAGGCACTTCTAAATCGTCGAGTGTAATGTATGCAATTTGTTTTCTTTATGAGACGTGCCAAAATGTCGTTAGGTAAGTCTAAGATTTGAAATCTCAATATACCGTAACTGTGAATAAGAAAAACGCGTACCTCAGGCGTTAAAAAAATCTACAACTTTCTGTATAAAAAGCAAACAGCATACCTATCTCATTTGAAATCGTTATTTCGGCGAAAATTAATAACTGTATATTCTTAAACCTTAAAACTTTAGTCGTACTAAAGTCAAAAATCGATCCAAAGTAATAAAAAAGTCCCTTTTTTTACCAAATAAACTCAAATTTTATTTTTATTATTTATAGCAAAATAATATCGAATATATTGAACGTAAAATGATTCAGTATTTTAAGTAGATTAGGTAGTTAAATCTGACAAATTATTTGATAATTTTTAGGTAATTAACATGTTAAAAAACTGATTTTGTGATAATTACGCATGATTATGTCAGCTAGGTCCATAGTACGTAGGTCGCACGTGTTCTCTATTAAAAATAATAACTACCTAAAATACCCACCTAGATATGAACTGGTCTAAGGGCACGCAACTTGATAGTGTATTGCCCTATCTAAGTTTAATAATTAAAAACAATATCAAGATTGTTTATTTGTGATAAGCTGCTAATTGTTTACGAACCTCGAAGTAAGTAAAACACTTAATTAATAAATATGTAATATTTGCATGATTTTAATTTAAAAAAGAAACTTCACTTACCTCGTCGAGAGACATGATTTTGATTAGTTGAGATCTGTAACAAATAAAAATATTAAATGTATGCAGCACTTTATATACCTACTCGTATAATCAACAAGATTATTTACTAAAATCCAAAAGATAAATAGATATACGACACAGGGGACTAAATACACTTTGTGGTTCCGGCCGTAATACCTTAATTCCTCAGCTTAGGATATTAAATTATTGTCGCTATAGCAGTATTTGACTTCTGCCTAATCTATTAATACTTTAACTGCCAAGTTTAAAATGGTGAAAGTCAAACCTCCACTAGCGTCAGGCACCGGTGACTGACGTGGCGCTCTAAGCTAAAAAATCAACTCTAGGTAGATATTGCAACTTATGCACTGAATTTTTAGATCATTTTCAGGACAAAAAAAGTGATCTAAAAACAACACCGACAAAGGTCCAATTTGCGGTCTGCAGACATTGAACGTGTGGCGTGCGCACGCGCATTCCTTGGGTTCATCGACCGGTATCAGCGGAACTAGAGCTGTTAGTGCACTTTCCAGCGTTCATTGACAGTGGAATCGCGATGTAGCGGAAATCCGGATAGATTTGCACTGGGTCCATTAGGGGAATGTGGGGAATGAAATGGAGAACATTTGGGCTTTTTACAGGAATGTTATACACACAACGTCGCAAATGTAGTGTTTTACCCGAAAAGGTAATAAGACATCTACTATGTTGAAAACCGCCAGGTACATTTTTGGCACAATATCTAAATAATTATGTCAAACACAAAATAAAAAAATTCTTTAAATGAACGCAGTAGTGGTATAATGTATTGTGGGGTACTTACCACAAGGTAGAGAAGCTAGGTCGAGATCGCAAAGGATACTGAACAATTTTGTGTGAGACCCTTTAGTTAAATTTCGTCAAATATATGGCAGTTCTCGTCAGGGTTGTCAACATTTACGATAGCCATAATAGATAAAATTATAAATGATTAGCTAAAGAGAAATCTATTGATTATCTGATCAAGGCTAATTGTATGGTCATTGTGTTATTGATTTGTCCAATTAATTACAATAATTAGGTAGCTGTGATTCATTAGGTTTTCGTGACACATATCAATAATTAATCAGCGTGCCTAGATTTGGATGTACCTACCTATGTGATAAATAGGATTATATTTTTAACTCTAACGTTGTTTGTTTACTATATCATCATCGTTGTCATCACGTTTAGTCTTTTGCACTGGTCTAATTATCTCTATATTCTACCTATTGAATATCAAAAGTTTGCAAAAAATAGTCACAAGTCACAAATTGCACACAGATGAGAACCTAACGGGTAACCGGGGCTCCGGCTCAACGTGCAGGAGTAGGAACGGGGTGGCTTTTAGTCAGTAAGAGTCTGACACTCCCTCCCGCCTCACCCAGGCGGGAAAAGCCATTTGATGATTTCCCCCCTTAAAAAGGCCAAATTAGTAGTCGTCTAGGTATTTTATTTTCATTTTAGAGCTTTGATTGCGTCTTTTTTGGATAAATAATTTAATTTTATGTCTTTTGACCCCTTGGAATACATGAGGGGGTCAAAAGACATGGGGTTTAAAAAGACGTAATTGTTAGGATAATTTTATAAAAAAAACTACATATTTTAATAAAAATGGGTATTTAGTAAAAAGAAAGTAAAAAAAAGAAAACAACAAAAATTATACCCTTAAACTGTCAAACACCAAGCAGTCACCAGTGACCGCAAACTATTGTTCTTTAATTGTGTCTATAAATACGGTACTCGACGAGTTAATTTAGGCGTCAAAGTATTCGTCGGCATCACTATCACAGGGGAACGTTCCCAGAAGACTAGCAGCATTGCCACGTTGAATGGCAATGCTTATTTTCTGTCCGAAGAAAAAGCCAGCCCTCTGGTCACGTGTAGAGTCGATTAGCCTACGGGCGATAACTTTAAACACAGAGTGTGCACTGGGGTCATGGCCCAAGTGTTTCGACCCCAAACAGCTCAAAACAGTAGTTACCCACTAGATTTGAATATTTACGCTGTTTGAGGGCCTCTGCCGCGGAAGCAGATGCACCAACGCATGCAGCGGTGCTTAAAAGATGTGATGGCGCGTCATCACGTACCAAACCATTAGGTTCTAATACGGCTGGTACACCGGCTGAGGCAAGAGCACGACGAATGATGTCGTTGATGCTGGCATGGCGAGCTATGCGGCCTGCACTTCTGCAACAAGAAAAACCATGGTGTCCCAAGCCATCGACTCTTTCTCCACAGTGACAATAATGCGGAGAAACACAAGGAGCACCTAAACGTAAGCAAATTTAGTTAATTTGCAAACCACCTCATTGTATTTAGAAAAGTGTAAACCCTAGCTAGGTGCAATATAAATGTACGCTATCCGCTATCATGTAATAAAATTTCGAATCTTTATCGCATGGACATAATCCACATTTAAGATTAGGTGATGTTATGGTCCAAATAAAACTCTTGGTGGGATATAAAATATGTTCTGATAAGGTACAAATCCGTTTCGTGGTTATTCGCACCTGTTGTTGGCTAACTAACGGACGAAATTAATAACCAACCTAATTCCAAAGTATCCGGATCATTTTAGCCGGTTTTTGATAGAATTTCAATAGAACTAATTTCAAAAATTAATTTTACTCCATTATCTTGAGAGCCATGCTTGGGCACGAATGGGCCGGTTCAAACGGAGTACGAGTAAACCACGGCCTCACAGAAAACTGACGTGAAACAACGCTTGCGTTGTGTGAGTGAAGTTACTGGAGTCCCAATTACCCCTAATCCCCGATTCCCAAAAAATCGTCAAATTCCTAATCCCCAATAGGTCGGTAACGCACTTGAAACGCCTGTAGTGTTTCAGGAATCCATGGGCGGCGCCGATTGCTTACCACCAGGTGATCCATAAGCTCCTGTACCGGCTCATCTCTTAAGAAATGATCAGTTATTGATTTCGCCCGTAGGTAAACCAAATAGTCGATATAGTCATGGCATAGTACCTATGCCATTTTTCGAAAATCATCGAGTGCCTACTCCCGCCTGGGTGAGGCGGGAGGGAGAGTCAGACTCCTACTGACTAAAACCCACCCCGTTCTTTCTCCTGCACGTCGAGCCGGAGCCCCGGTTACCCGTTAGGTTATCCGCGACATGGAAGAGTATGCCATATGGTTGCTACAAAATACTTAGAAGAGATTTGTCACCAGTCAGAATGCTGGTTTTTGACGGAGACTGGGCAGCAGTGCTCTCTGATAAACCTGATACAAACTATGGTCTCCAAACTGTATAAAGCGACGAGATCACGTGACTGTGGCAAACCTCTTTTAAGTATGGGAGGCTTATGCATCAACAGTGGACTATTGATGATTGTCTTACTTATTACCTAGCCATGGAAAGTTTTGCTGCTCCTTTTCGTTCCCTGTAATGTCATACTGTTATTTGTTTGCATGTCATACCTGATTAAGTAATCATTGGTTCACTTCTCTGTGTTTGACTTACAAAGGTTTATAAGCTTTTTACTACTGTAGAATGACCACAGTATAAGTACAACCAATAGCTGACTGTGTTATGGTATACTGTCTTATAGGAATGGCACTTAGGTACTATGTATATTTTGATATACCTACTGCAGTTACTTAAGTTTACTTAGTAGTATCTAAGTAAGTACCTATTTTAGGCATTAGATTTTATTCGTTGCTTCACTTGTTACCACGGTTAGCGCAGTTGAAAGTGGAAATATATAGAGGTAAGCATGTTTTGCTTAGGTGCAGGCTGGTCCGGCTCCACAGGATAACGAAAAACATTGATGTTTCTATGAAATCCAAACATGTAAATATTACAGCCTTGTCGCTAAAATGTACCTATATTGTTTAACTTGCATAATCATTGTAAATGTGAGAGCCCTGTACTTAACTTAATATTGCATTGCACGTGCATTGGATCGCTCGATTCCCTACAATATGGTTGAGTTGGGTGGTGCTGGTGTACGTGTAATGTTCGTGAACGGGCGCTGTCAAATAGGACTGGTCAGCTCCAGACTGCATTATTTATTGTACTTAAGGTTACTTTCTTTTTCGATCTCTTTGACTGGATTTTGGTGTTACTTACATTCTTCTCGCACAATCGAACCAATAAAACTGTGTAACTGGAGAATTGTATTGCGAACCTGATTGAAAAAGAGTAACCTATGTAGTTTCTTGCTTGTTCTTCTCCATACGAATCTACACCTTTGAATGAGCAAATAGCTTCACTTTTAATATTTTTTGTTGATGTTTAAAAGTAGCTTCCTGTTATAATTGAAATAAATGGTTTTGACTTTGACTACGAGTGTTCGTGTATAATTTTTAATAAATAATTAAATATCCTATTTTAAAATGATTCCACGCCAAAGAACTAAACTAACTAAAGTATTCTATAATTTTATCTACAACTTAAATAAAGAAAATCATTTGTTCATTGAATTACTCACTGCGTTTTTATTGATATTACTTCAGACAATTGCGTCAGATCAGCTAACATAAAGAGACTGAAGAATCAAAGAACTCAATCCATTTTGCTAATGTAATTTTAGTTTTGAATTATATTCATAGTCATCTAGGTTGGCCTTGGTGGCAACGACGCGGGAAATTTTAACTGCTATCTACTTATACATTTGATAGTCGGACATTAGTGTTCATTTCGTTATAACTTAAGTAATTAAGTATTATTCTTTGAACCCCAAATACCCACTTACTTTGATTGCAAAAGGCTCATGGTCATTCATAGTTAGTTAGAAGTTCAATAAGTGTGACAACGCTTAGATTCTGATGAGCTAACAGCTAATACAAAAACTTCTACTGCCCTCTTCGTCCTCTCCAGGCGGGGGGGCTACATGAGGGGTTGTTTATGGAATAGGAAGCAAACGAGCAGACGGATCACCTGATGGTAAAACCAGCGCCTCCCATGGACACCCGCAACACCAGAGGAGTAACAGGTGCGTTGCCGGCCTTTAAAAAAGGAATACGCTTTTTTCTTGAAGGGTTGAAGGTCGTATC